TCGTCCCTTGGAGAGGTGGGTGTTTTTCATCTGATGGTGGGCTACCGGAGAGATTTACAGCAGGAGCACACGCTTGCCTCGGGGGGGGAGCCAAGAGAAACAGCCAGAGCCCTGCCTCTCCCCACCTCTGCTGCTAAATCCACGCGGAGAATAAACCGTAGGGCAACCATGCTCGGTACGTCTTCTTCGCTGCTTTTGGTGTATTTTGTGGCGGAAGTACAGCGCCACTTACAGGCCCGGCATATGCACTACCAGCGGGTCGAGCGGTCTCGTGTGAACGGACACGTTAATTGAGCTGATTGCGTGTGAACGGAAGACTTTTTTGATATCGAATTTGGTTCCTTATTCGTTTGCGTTCCCGTGTAAATGGGGCCTAAGACCTTTCCCCATTTTCCCATAAGATAATTGACAATCTGTTTCTACAATTCCACAGAAGAGGGGTTTGCAAGAATATTAGGCAATGCCACTAGCAAGCGTAGCTAGTGTAGCAAGGCCTTGAAACACTTTGTTCTGTCTAAATGCACTTGTGGATGTAACGTTTGAAAAAGAATGCACGAAAAAAAATTATCTGCACATTCAGACATTTTTTTATACACCATTTGGTATATTTGTCCTTCTTTCTCAATACTAATTCCATAACCAGGGCCAGATCCAACCAAAAACATCTGACATTGACTGCTGCAAAACCAAATTAACCTCCAATTTGTAATGCTCATATTCAGGGTCAGACTGAGGAGGACTCCAATGAACATTGCAGCAAAGATATTAAGGTTATGGCACAGTGGACTAGTGCGTTGGTGTTGGGATAAGGGGGTCACAGGTTCGAACCCCACTGCAGTCAGCATGTGTCCCTGGGCAAGACACTTCACCCCAAATTGCTCCTGTGGGGATTGCCCACAGTATTGAGTATGTAAGTCGCTTTGGATAAAAGCGTCTAACAAGTAACATGTAATCTAATGAGAAGCAAATGTAAAAGTCCTGTAGTTGGAGTGACACAGCTTGAACAACTGAGTATATCTTTGATTCATGGATGTTTGCCAGTCATGTCGACTCATACTGTTGCTTCAAAGGGTTTTAAAATCTATACAACAAAAAAGGCAGAAGAAAAAGAATGTCACCAACTAAAATAGGATTGGTCAACTGCGTCTACAAGTGGTGGAGACAGCCATGCCTATTTGAAAACAAATATGAGATGTGGGCAACTGTTCAGAGGGGGAATCATACCAAGGTCTATTAAAAGCTTAAATTAGCATGATTTATTTGTTTGTCATACCATTGAAGTGATACTGCAGACAACTTGGCTCTTTGACGTCTGATGACAGGTATTGCAAAGTTTAGGAGCATCCTACAGAAAAACTGTATTGTACTTTTCCCCATTGACGTGGCATTATTGAATCAAACCCAGCAGCCCTCTTCCTTCCATCCCCATTGAAATTGATGAATTGAAGTCTGCATGTAATTGGATGCAATCACGTCTCCCCCTCCCTCTCCCCTCTTGCATTCTAATGAGCTCTTAATGGGTCTTTGATTAGAAAAAATGTACGAAAACAGCTGTCAAGGCTGTCCCGGAAATGATGGATCATCCAGGAGACTCTGGTGTCCATTAAGGTCTATTCTGAGCCAAATAACTGGTAGGTAAGAAGATGAGATGAAAGCTTCGTAATATTTAGTTTCCAATGAGACAATCCCCAGTGGAACAATGATCGCTTCTGTCTTGAAACTGACAGATGGCTGTACACTGAACACTGAGTCCAGTCTCAGTTTGCTGATATTATGTAGGAAGTCAAACATTTATTACGCACATAAAGAATGCAACATGTCGGGAAAATGGGGTGTTTCTCAATTGCGAGTAAAGCTGCTGCAGAGCCACTATTTCAAGCATACTAAGTCATCGAGTGCTGCCGAAGTACTGTTCCAATCACCTGCATACTTGGAAATCTACCGAGCCGGGCGTACTTCGTTAGGAGAAATTTCGAGGATGCACATGTGTAGACTCCGCAGTCTTAAAATCCCCACAATGCTTTGCGCACGGACCAATTTCCCCAAATCTGTGGTGGAAAATGTAAGGCGGGGCCTCTCATATGACGCACACCTGCAGACTTGCTAGCCTGTTCCACTCTTTGTTTTCCGAATGCCAGGAAGTATTCTTCTACTCGCTTCTGAAGCAAGATGCTCGGCAGACATGTGCTACCAAGCAAGCGTACTCGCGATTGAGAAACACCCATGTACTAGGTTCCTAAAAAGGTACAACAAATTGAAATGTATTAAGAAAATGTATAATGTTACACAAATTATTATCAAAACGAACAAAGAACATCCCTTCATACCCTGGCCTTTGGCTCATGTCATGCCATATTTACTGTGAACATGAGCTGCAAACTGAGAAGGAAAAACAAATGAACACTAGGGATTGTCTTTGCTATGAAAGTTCAGACAACTCATCATATTACAACTTTTTGTAAATAGACACATTTCCCAGCAAAGACTGCATTATACTAATAGATGTCAGCAGTTGAAGGCAATACAAATCTAAATTACATTACGGGTAATACAATCAGCTCCATACAAAGTTGCTTTACAGGCCTTTTGTGGTTGGTTTTTAAAAGCCATAAATAAAATATTTGAGATGTGGGCTCTCCAACAAGCTTTATGTCAATCCCTTAGAGCTTTTCCACCATCCTCCACTTCCTTTTTGTAGCTTCCTGTAAAGTGACGTGAACAAGGCATCAAATACAACCAGCATGAGACAGTGTTCTCTCCACAGCGACCCATACATTAAGGATAAGATATCACTGGCATCTGTGAGCTGCAGATAAAATGCAAGAACATCCAACAGGGAATACATGTTTGCCACACATTCCCTCTGACTCTGTGCTTTTATTCATAATTTATGTAAGTACTGTAAAAGCACGGAGCATAAATTGTGAATAAGCATTAAAGATTAATAAAAACATGTTTAGTCTTTGTGTGTGCTGCAAATATTCCTTGTTGGCTTGCCATACATGTTTCACCTGTTAAATGTACAATTTAATTAAGGATGTTGTGCTTTAGGTGCTCTGGGAAAGTGCAACTAAAACAATTTGCATAAGTGGTTTAAATAAATCCGGCCCATTTGCACTGGTTGAGTTTTTAGGCATGGCAGTACTTCATAGACTTCTCAGTGAAAGTGTTAAAGATGTCCCATCGTCGCAGAGCTTTAATAAAACACACCGGCGTCTCCACTTAACACAGAAATAGAAGGCAACACTGAAATGAGATGTTCCTGATGGACCTGGAAGCCGAGGAGCCTTATAAAAGATAAGCAACTAATAAAAGGGTCGCCCTCAGCTGCTTTGTCCCTGTTGTTATTCTTAGTCTGACAGTCACTGGCGATGTATGATGAGAAGAGAAGGTCTGGCAGCCGTAGCTTGTATTGTGTACTGATGTTTCAGAGGCAGGTGTAGCCTCGAAAAGCTTAAAAATAACTCTCCCATCCCTCCATACAATGCTATGTGAAGCCCCCGTCAGTCACACATATACAAACAAACCCATACAACCATGACAACATTATAATTGTGTGGGCTTCCTTCAAAGTATTAGTATTGTATAAGAATAAGAAAGAAACAAACTTTATACATCATACAGCCAGAACAGGTGTTTATAATAACTCCACAAAGTTTTGTTTGCAGAGCAAGTTAAAGAAAACTTTCTGCGGATATCTTCAACTTCAGTTCTAACAAACTCAGAGTGTGCTGTTTAAAAAGACAGATCAGTGGACAAGTTCCAGGAACTGTTCAAAGATCACAGTAAAGGAGATGCAAGAAAGAAGAGAATACAAAAAGAAAGGGGGCAAAAGTGCAATTTAAAGTTCAAGTCAAATCAAGAACAACAACAACTAAGGATAACCTCAACGGTGCACCGAGAAACACCTTCAGCCCAGGCACTGTAATTAAGCTGCACAGTACACAATATGCTGTGTAAATATAGCCTTTCATATTATCCTGCCTGCATTTGTTGCTCAGCAATACACGCTAAGTAGACAGCTAGGGCGGATGGAAATGTCAGTTTGGTTAGAAAGTGACAAATCCATTTTTAACCCATTGATGGTATGAATTGAAAAGACTGAGGATAACCAAAGCAAGAGGGTTTTAGTCTCAAAATCGACACAATCGATGCAACAATAATTTACATATTTTATTCTGGACCAGAAGACCAGAGAATCCTCCCATAAATGAAGTTGAAAAAAATAAGAAGTCAAATCTAAAATGTGTTTATGATAAAGAAAATGGCAGACAGATTTGAGCGATACAGGAAAGAAACGATACTGGAGATGAAGGCATAAAGACAGAAGTAGATTGTTCTATGTATTATATAAGGATGGAAGCTGGATACAGTGTTCGAGGCAGGATGCAGTTCATTTAAGTTGCTCGGTGGCGCATGAAGCCAACATCTTGGTCCTTCTTCTATGTTTCCATTTCTCTCTTTCCTTCTCCCTCTCTCTCCACAGCCCTCTCTCTCCACCTGCTTGACATTTCCAAGCCTTTCATTTCGTATTCTTTGTACCCAGGTGGGATAGTGCTGCCAGAGCCGAGATAAATATATATATTTCTTTAAGTGACATTTATTGAGCAGACATTCGTAGTTCCCCCACCAGTTGTTCTCCTGAGGCTGTTCCAGCTGTATCTTCCAGCTATTCAGGTCATTCTTTCCAGCCTTTCTTATTGTAAAGGGAGCTGTGGTGTCATCTCCAAACCGCTTGTCCTCGGAGCCGTCTGTAAATCGATCTGGGGGACGCTAATGATCTGTGTTTATGTGCCTGTGGTGGTTTTGTTAGGATTGAATGTGTTGTAAAGTCATGTGTGCAGGGGGGGTAGTAGGGGGGTAGGGGGATTTGGGGGGCTGTCATTGGTCTATATTTACCAACTTAAGAATGAGAGAGCATTGTGTTGTCTGCATTCTTGGCACTTTGTGTTCAGGGTCACCCTCAGCGCTTCATCGGGAGAGGCATAGAGACAGGAGAGAGTGAGGTAGACAGACAGTACATCCTCAGAGGTGAGACAGCACGACTGAAGAGGATCTTCAAGGAGAGAGACAGACAGGCAGACAGAAAAGGAAACTGGGATATATCCGTCCTACAGATTTGCACCCAGAGGACTTCACTTGTTTCTTTAAAGAAAGCGTGAGTGGGATTTCCTTTTCTCAGCCTTCATCTCGATCTAGCACAAATGGCACTCAGATGTTTCTGCCTTTCATGGGTTTAGACACACATTAAAGTAATGCGCTATAAAATTTAAAACCACAACGTTAAATGTAAGGATGAAGCATACACTGTGCCTCCAGTACATCTGCATCATGCTGTTAATTATTCCCTTTTCTTTGTATTGTCAGAAGGCATTTTATTTATTATAGTTTCTTCTGAATCTCCAGCTACCTGTTCTTCTTAATGGTCTCGTCTTTTGATGGCCGTAGTGGATGTAGCTTTTAATTACTCTCTAGGGGTGGCATATAAAGCTCCTATCATGTTCACACGACGCCTTCCTCTTCAGAGTGTATAGAAGTAAATCATTTCCCCCCTCTGTTGATACAGTTTTTTATATTATTATCAGAGACCTGGAAACTCAATTGCCTCCAGAGACTGAAAGCTGAACCATGCGTGGTAAAAAGCACTGCTTTGCTTTTGCTCCCTCCGGGGGCCCGAGATCCAGGCCTACACATGGAGACTGATCAATTTTAATGTGCCAGAGTTCGACCTTCCATTAAAAGTGTTCAAACAAACATCTCTCCTTGCGCTACAGTGAACCACAAGATTAAGCAACAGGGGAATCAGCTGGCACATTAGCCTTTTAGCCTGTGAGCTAGCTCGCTTCTGTTTTTTTAGAGAAGTAGCCTAATTGAGGGAAATGAGAAGAAATAGCACATTATGCTTGTTTGTAGCAATAACACAGGTGCTAGTGGGAGTGGGTGAATGAAGCTATCATTCAGCAGCGACCTGATTTTGTTTGTTGGGCGTTCTGCGCTCACTTCCCCAGAGCCGCCGTGTGATTAATGACGGGCAGTGAGAGGGCAGCCGCATGGCGGACCTCAGCTGATGAATTATTAGTGGCTCAGCAGCCCGCAAAGGTTTGATTCATGTAACGTGGGAATAAAACACGACTTTTATTCCACAAACCATACTCTACTCCTTTCAAAACGTTTACAGGGTTTTTGTAAAGAAAAACCTTCTGGTCATTAAACTTCTCTGTTTACAATAACTTCTCTGTTTACAATAACTTCTCTGTTTACAATAAACCATATAAAAAGATGGGTTGTTTTTAAAGTTGAGATGATAAATCATTGAATTCTAAAAGACTAAAATGGATTGGTATTTTCTACAGTCTCTTGTCATGCACAAGCCTTGAAAGACAAACACAAGGCTTGTGCAGAAAGATTGGACTACATTTTCCATTAGTTTCTGACATTTTATCGGCCAAAACATAAATAAACAAACAAATCTAGGCGATAATCTGCAGAAGAAAATCAATAATGAAAATAACTATAGGTTGCTGCCCTTGTTATTTCCAAAGTTCAGTGTTTTCAACAATAGCTTCATATCTAAAGGCTGCGTCTGAGTATTGAATTTCAGATAATGTCCCTCTCCAAAGTGAATTAAAGAGACATCTTAAATCGAAAAACACTTACGGTGGGTGGGTGTGTTTGAGGCTCCAAATGAAAGTCAGGAGGGTGTTGACGTTTGATGAATGATTCTTTTGATGCAGGTTGTAATTGCAGCACATATTGATTCAGAAACATTATGTCATGAGCAACACCGTGCTATGTCGTTGGTTTGCTATTCCCCAGATACTTCAAGAAATCATAAGAATGCCACCTTTTGATAAGGCCAGAATATTGGCTTGGTAAATGGCAGTTTTTCACACCCCTTGGGTATAATTATAATTTCTAATGGATGAAGCTGGAGACCTATTCACAATCCTGCACCACCACAACGTGAATACTCTTTACTCTGTCACATACTGTAAATGTACTATAAAAACATACCTATAATGTCCTTTGAATACAAATCACAACATGTATGTCTCTAGCCAAGGCTGCAGTGTCTACAGTTTAAAGTGAACATTCATTTAGCTTTGAGGTGGCTACAGCCCCTTTAGTCCAGTTGCCTCCCACACACCTCTGCATCCTCACTCCTAGCCTCCCCTACCTCCACAGGTGCCATTTGGGGGGTTACTATGGAAACCAGGACGGTGATGCAGCGTGAGCGGGAGGAGCAGTCGTCCAAGATGTCTCAGAGCATGCAACTGTCCTCCCAGATTCAGAAGAAGACCTTCACCTCCAGGTACAAACATGCCTGTCATGACTTCAGTAGTGGCAGAGGTTTTCAAATTATTTACTGAAGTGATACAACCAAAATAATCTTCATATCATATTCTCATATATGTATTTTGACTCTCTACTGTGATATCTTTACATGTTTTAATGTTCAAAAAGGTCTTTATTTTGTCACCCTCCGTCTGAAACCAGAGCCCAGTCTGCTCTGATTTAGCTAGCTGGTTCTGTTGTGATTGGTCATAGACTTAGAGATGTCACGCCGCTCAGCGTATCACGTACTATGTTCTGGAGCACCAGTCAAAAGAAGCAAAGGTTTTAGTGATGTCACTTTGTTAAGGAAGTAAACAAAGGAGTCAAGTCGAGGCGCTCAGTCCCTTACCTTTGGGACAAAACCGTTTCAGTATTTTCTGACTAAAAAGAAGAAGTATAATCAGTACTCTTTGGTATGGGCTTGTGGAGTTTCACCTGTAATGTTACAACAATGAAAAACATAATCAAGGGTTCAAGGTTCTTTATTCTCAAACTAACATAGCTACAGAAAAATTATCTCGTTGAAAATCTTAGGTCACAGGCTTCTCCAACAATGCAACACAATAATACAGATAAGCAGACAATATTAAAACAATATTAAAATATACTATATTAAAAGTGATACAAAATAAAAATAGTTTTAAAAAAAAAGTGAGAAAAAATTTAAATAAAAAAGAATGTTTATCATGACTCATATTTAGCACTTAAAGCAAAAACATTCTAGTGCAGCATCTCCGTTCAGGAATATTTTAGAAATGAGTTTCTTGAAATGAGGCAAAGTTAGGAGAAATCACTTCATACATATCGTGTAAAGTCGCACTTATGGCTCTACAATTCATTAAAAAAAGGCAGATTCATTAACCAAGCAAAAAAATCTCACCCTCATAGGCAGATTTATTGATGTGAAAAACCACTATGATGTAGGATCAATGGATTAATTGACATGTTGAGAAAGAGATTTGCAAATGAACGTACATTTCAGAAATATCTAAGAACATGTATCAGAAAAATAACTCCACGATTTAGGTTTCTTCCCTAAATGTATACTTTTCTAAATAATAAATTAAGTACATTGTATTTGTGGTATGTTGCTCAAGGTTGTCCTGATAGATCACAGCTACGTTTTTCTTTGTTGTTGAAGGTTGAACAAAGCAGGCTATTTATTAAAGAGGAACATATGGCAGGCTGCTTATTCTGAGCCCAATGAGACATTGCATCCACTCAAGTATACCCTGTGGGCCACTGGCGCTAGCTGTTAGCACAACACATTCCCATAAACAGCATTCACAGACGTAAACACAGTCTGTCTCTGGTTGGGGATAAATGGACACTTCCTGATTGACTGCCTTGAGCAAACACTTCTAATGTTTATTGATATTTCTTTAATGTTATGTGTCTCTCTGCAAAGGTTAATCTGGTAGTACAGTCTACAACTTGTCTGCATGTTTTAGGAGTGAAGATACATGTACTAATATAGCGTGGAGCAGGCCACTAAAATAAACAACTTTTCGTACAGTTGCAATTGCAGTTCAGTGACTTTGTTTATAGTGGTGTTATTGTAGCATGGATATCAGCTCAAGTTACACATTGGAGTCGTTCCAGTCAACCCGTGAGTTGAAAGACAAATATGAACAGCAGCGAGTTGAACTGCAATAATGCAAACATTTTGGAAACACAATAAAACAATGAAGTGGCAGAATAATGAAACAAACAGGCAGCAACTCACATTTAATGTCAGAGTAATAAATGAACTGTCTTTGTCCTGGAGGGACTTCCGAGATGTGAGGATCAAAGTGACTTCCTGACCTTCGAAAGAGCAGTTGACAAAACTTTCCCCTTCAATTTGAAACAACTGCAGACTAGTCAAAGTCAAGGTCAAAGTCAACTTTATTGTTAATCTCAAAATATGTTTGTACACACAGAAAGATCGAAATACTTTTTCCCACAGTCCTGAGGTATAAAATAACACATTAAAATACAAGAACACTCAATAATTACAAAAAAAACACAAAATAACCGTTTACTTCAAGTAAGCAGGATATATACAAAAAAAGGTGATGTGGGGGGGGGTGTTAAAGTCCAGGTCCAGTGGGGGCAGGGTGGAGAGGTGAGATCGAGACTAGACTAGACGTTAAGGTGCTCCAAAAAATTGGAAATTCTCATTTCTATGACAATTGGTCTGCTTATGAGGATTATGTGGTATTATTGAAAGCTCCAGGACAGATACTAAATGAACCTTGGGATTAGTTATATGTATTTTAAGCAATACCACAACCACTTCAATTATACAATGACAATATCTGTATCCCTTTTTACCTCTGCATACACTAACTCACATATAGTACACCTTGTTAGCTTGCACTTTGGAAGAAGACATGAAAAAACCATTAAAATAATACATCTCACAGCAGGCCCATCGGTGCTCCGGGATGATTCCAACTTAATCTAATATGAATCTCTTCTGGACCTGCCCTCCTGCCCTAAGAGTCTCAAGTCAAATATATTTTCAAAGGGCCCCCTGCTGCAGTGAGTTATTATATTTGGCTAACCTGCGGATCTGCCATCTTTACTGGAGAACAAAGGGTATTAGACCAATTTCTCTCATTAGGGATGATGAGAATAGGCAATTATTCCCGTCAGACTTCGTTTTAGCTTGGAGAGAAAGCGAAAGAAGGGATTCAATGTGTACTCAGAACATCCATCATCAGGAGGGCGAATTTAAAAAGGGACACATTTATCGACAGAAGAAAAGAATCCTGTTGTTTATCAAGAAAAACTGTTTAGCCAGGAGTTTGTTTTGTTGTTCTTTGTACAATCCGTATAGGACTGTTGTTAGCAGAAGGTGTTGACATGTATAAAACAACAAGGGCAGAGTATCCAGTTCCTCTCAGATGTTTTCCTCTTTTTTTATTTTCTAGTAATACCAAGTTAATATATTGAGGAAGCCTGTTGTTTATAACACATAAAAACACAACTTCCACTGTCCTTCTCACAGCAGCAGTATCACTATTCGTTTGAGTGCATGGTTGAACATGTGTGTATGTTCCTGTTTAAAGGCATGCCATGTCCCAGTGTGTGTGTGTGTGTCTGTGGGCTGTACTTGTACGACACTGCCCAGCTGTAGGCTCTGTTGTTTATTATTAAACGCCCAGAGCCACTCAACAACATTAAAGGGAACTTGCATTTAACAAAAAGGGAAAAATAAGAAGGAAAAAGCAGAAGTTGTCCTCTGTATAGCGTGAAATGGGGAAATATCCCTAGCTTACAAACAAAATAAAACGAGAAGTCATTTAAATTTGCATTGCCATTGGCAGGGTGGCTTGTTGAAAGTAATGCCTGAGGCTAGAGGCTGGCAGCAACGGTGGTTGGGGGTTGTGTACACACCTGGGTAAATATACAGTTCTGGCACATCGTCTTTGAAACTTGTATTTCTGTATTCATACTTTTAACTGTACATACTTTGCTTCAACGTGAGGCCATAGCATGCTAGTTAGCAAGTTCAAATATCCTCTCACTGTGTAATTAACCTTTAAAAGAGCAACCGTCATTCGAGGATTAAGGCAGAGCAGAAGTGAATGTCTCTCTTGTTACAAAAATGCCTTTCATGGTCTCAAGTGACCTTGTCGCCAACAACAATTGCCCCTCTCCTGCACATAGATGAAGTCAGCTCAGTCTGATTGTGGGCGCTTTAAATTGAGAGCTCATGCTGCAGTGTGGGGTCACGCAAGTGTGCCCACGGTAGAGTGTGTGTATATTATGTGATTGTCTGCATGACTATGATGACGTCGTAAAGAAAGAGACAGCAGCTGTCAGTGCTTTTGATTTAGAATCACTCTCCTGCATGTGTCCAGTGACGGCTCTATGTCTGGTTCATCATGTCTAAGTGCATCAACTGGAACACACCCAGCTCTACCACCAGTTGTCACGGACACATTGTGGATTAAATACTGAACATTGCATGCTATAATGCCGCACTAATTAAAATTGCCATTGTACCATGAACGACCTACTGGGTCACGTCCAAAACCCCTTTGGCTCATAAACAGCACATTGTCATCATTTATCTGCGTGGGCACATCAGCAGGCCCTGTTCCCCCTGATTATATAAGCTCTCTGAAGACAATAGCATGTGTGTTTGTATACCAGAGAGTAAAAGGGGAACACTGACAGAGGAGAAGCAGCTGATGATGGTCCAAACATTTATTGCACTTGAGAGAAAACAGGTCACCACTACCCTGCAGTATTTTATCTGCTGCTTTGCTTGGGTGAATACAGAAATGTAAGAAAACATTGCACCATGATGGAAAACAATCTGAAAAGACAACACAGAGAGTTATGCTCAGCAGACATGTGACACCCGCACTGACTGTGTAACTGACGTCTTCTTGAATCTTATGTGTCGAGAAAAGATGGTTGAAATTAAAATACATTCACACCTGAATCTGTAAATTCTGTTGTAATGTTTGAGAAAACGTTGTTTATACTAAGCAGTAACAAATCTGCTATGCCTCACCATGAACCACGCTGGCTGGCTTTCCCCCTGAGCCGCGAAGATTGACACAAGGGCGACAAACAATATTGACATCGCACTTTAAAGTGGGGTCTGTCTTTTATGGATTCTCACTTCTTTGCAGTTTGATTTTGGTCTGCCAATGTTTACCTTGCTCGTACTTCAAAACAAGAAGAGAGGATACACAATATCCATTAAAGCTGTTTTTCAGTCTGGAGATAAGGTAAGGTAGCAGTTGCTAATTTTAAACTGAATCCCTGGAGTGCTTGAATAAATGATAGTGTGTATATAATGTTTGCCTACATTAACCGGAGCTCTGTGTGATGTACAGCCACCTCTGCTGCTCACACTGAGAATAGGAGAATCGCTGCTGCTTTCTAGTGGCAGAGGAGGATAACAGGCTGATGGATTTGAGATTGGATAATAAACCAAGACAAAATGAATAGGCATGCTAATGTGAACACTCAGTCCTTCCATCAGCAGAAACAATAACTGTGAAGGATGACAAGAGAGAATATCAATTTTGGAATCTTTCACCGGTGTAATTTGATGATATGCAAGATGTTGAATCCGGCTCTATTTTCTCAACAGTGATGAGGACGCCTCCTACTCTGATTTGTATCCCATCATCCCCGCTGACCTGATGTCCGTCAAGGAGCTCCTGGACATGGACCACCTCCCCCGCCACAGGACATGGTGAGAAATATGATCCAGCAGAATATATTGGCTCGTGTTTGTCCTCGTTTAAGACTTGCTCTGATGACATGGATCAAAGCCTCTACTGTGGTGGATGTAATTACATACATCACAATATTAATATAGAGTTTGATGGAATAGATATTCTGGAAAATCAATTAAGAAATTGTTCATGGGTGAAATAATCAGCCATGAGTCTCTTGAGTATCTCAGTGTTGCATTAATCTTAAAAATGTTGCAATACAACTTAGCCTTATACACCATGAGTAGTTAAAGGGACAGACCAACATATGTTATTATATATATGCCATCTTTAACAAAAGTAATAGTTTAGTATTTTATAAATACGACAGGGATGCTTTTTATAAACGTCTAATAGCCAAATCAATGCATGAGGCAAATTACGGCAGCTGCAGATTGATTGAAAGTAAATCATAATTGTAAGTTGCAGCTACATCTAATGGCCACCATCTGCGTCTCTTATTCTGGGCACATTATTTGTATTCCTCATTTTAGTTTGTAATCTGTTGTGGGCGCACAATGGGCGACAACTGCGGATGAGTCTCATTTTGTTATGCTGAACATAAAGGACTTTAAACATGGCTCCACTTTTCTCAAGAGGACTTCCTTCCTGGATGATGTGTAATATAATTCTGCCTCTCCATCAGTAGTCAACACCACATCCTCTCTCTCCACTTTACTTGAGAAAGTGGAGTGGGTCAGACTGCTGCTTTGCCCTGCAAGCCATTGACAGCACATGCGCTCCTTTGCCGTCAGAGAATCTTGATAAACAGTTGAACTCAGAAGCAGTTCTTCACTCGTCCCCGCCTGTAAAAGGCCAGCTGGGGACGTCTCAGCTGTCTCACGGGTGTCTTGAAGCCGATAAGCTATAACCATTGTGTCCCACTGAAGGAGCTTTTGTATTTTCTTTAATGGAAAAGAGAAAAGAGCCACACATCCAATTAGATAAAAAAAATTATTATACATGGACAAATAGAATATCTTTGTTTCTGTTTGTGTTGGCCAGAGAATGAAAAGGTAGTTTGAAGACATTATGGACTGTAGTTTTACTTTAAAAAAAATGTTAACTGTATAAAAAATGTATCAAGAAAGTAGTTCACTAATGACATATATGTAAGATGCAGCCCGAGGATTAAATTGCTAAAACAGTCAACTCTATTGAACTCTCTAAATAATAATAAATAATATAATATAGGAAATATAAATCAGATGTTATTACCCACAGAGGTAACAGGCCAGCTGAAAAATGAACCAACCAAATCTGCATGTGGCTCGTAGCTGGATTTAATTTGCTGCCAACTACAGAAAGTCTTTAACTTACTAGTGAACCAGAATCTGAGAGGATTTTGTTGACAACTCGTATTAGCCATCTTTAATTTTTTAGGGTTTCTTATGATCATGTTGTGAGGACAGGATTACCGCTCAGTTGTCATGGGGGGGATTTCATATATCTAAAAATAAGTCCCAGAAAAGTGAGGTTTAGGTCACTGAGAACAGGAAATGAGGGGATTTGTACCTCCTGTGACACGATTTGATTTACCAAAATCCTTTTCCTCGGAGCACCTTGTCCTGTCTGGGTCACGTAGTCCATCGGTGGTGGGACTCAGCAGCACCTTGACATTTGGGGGCATAATGTTAGCCTCTTTCCTGTTCTCTAATCCGTTCGGAAATAGATTCAACTCTCAAAAGAGATTTGACATCTCTGATGTAGACTGTGTCATCTACGCTAAAAAAAAAAAGAGATATATTTTTCTTGAAGCCTTAAAACGATGCTTTAGCTGGCAAGAGTAAATACAGGGCCAGACAGAGGTCACAATGTATTAAAGGAGAAGAAGTTGCCAAGGAGGGAGAAGGCAGGAAGTTATTGAGGGAGCAATCGTCTTGAAAGACAAAAACACATCTGACAGTGATGAGCCTCAGCTGTGGCGAAGTGGACCTGCCAAGTCTGCATCTTATTCCATCTTCCATGCTCACACCACAACCCTCCATCTCATCATTCCACTTGTGTCACCTTCAGATATGTCATCTACCTCTTTAACTATAGCAAGGACGATTACCTCTGAAGTGCAATTTCTCCATCAATTCTTCACAACTCTTATCCCACTCAGAGACAAACATTGTGTGGATGGATATTTTAGACCGGAGGCTGGAGATGTAGTAATGCTCGACATGATTGACTCCTCCCAGGATAAGAGCGGAAAGACGGAAGGAAGAAGCTCCCGCGGATTGGCACACTGGAAAGACCTGAGTGCTGGAAGATGGCGGAGCATGACATTTTGTTTTGATTTGTGTGGAAATGAATGTGCTAGATCTTTCTGTGCTGGCAAGTGGGGCTCCTATTGCACATTACTATACGACTCACATAATGGTTTCTCTTCTATCATCTCCTTGAGGTAAGGGGGTAACATGTCAATTAAGCAGCTGACTCATGCGTGGCTATTTTGTCTTGGCAGGAGATTTTTTTGCTGTTGTTCGCACCAATACGCAATATTAAAATGTCCATTTGGAGCAATAATGAAACCATAAAAGCCTCTCATACCCACTGACTTGATGTGTTCCAGCAGTTCATTCCCCCAAGGCTTAAAATCTCTGAGCCCACAGAGATTACAAATACTGACAGGCACACACACTTTACTAAATGAGCCCGTGGCAGAAAAAGTCAAAATCATGTTTCTGAGCCCCCCGAGAGTGTGAGTGTGTGTGGGCTAGCACTTGTCTGCATATGCATCTAAGCATGCATGCACATATTCATTTGCATATATATCCATGCCCTTTGTGCACCGTTGAATTACTGCAAGCATTTGTAGGGCCATTCATGCTCTAGTGGCCCTCGAAGCTCAGAGTGTGTGAATATTTAAGATTCTCTCTCTCCGTTTGTTGTGGCAATGTGTGTGTGAAGTATATGTTTGAATAATTAAGCCCTGGGGAATGTGAACCAAAAGATGCTTTGGGATACGCACCCCTCAGGCAAAGAGAGAGCAAGGAGTATTAAAACGCTGCATTTAAAAAGGCAGACCAAATTCATAATTGTGTGTGTTGAGTGCGCATACACTTCATGCATATGGATAAACTGTTGCGTGTGTACACCAGAGAATGTGCGATGCCATGTACATATGGATATATATTCACAGCTACAACATACAACACACATATACTGTATATTATAGACTACCAGAGGGCCTTCTGCTTTTGTTTGACAGCCTTCTCATTCAGCTCAGAGCACAGCTTCAACAGCAGTAGAGCTGTGTTGCCTAACGATCCCAATATAACTAAGACGTAAATCAAAATCACGCCTTAAACCACAGTCCAGAGTTATGACAAATGCCCTACTTAATATATCACCTCGCTATCATTGCAAAGAATGACTACCTTAGTTTCTACTGCGTGAATAGACTATCATCATGTCACCAACTTGATGAAAGAGAATGTCAAGGATGTGACACATGTGGCGACACAGCAGAAATGTTAACTGTCCACACCTGAGGGAATCCTGGAGAGGCACACATCGCTTTTAAAGTACCAGCCGCACGCCTCTTCACAGTGATGCGAATCAGCAGTGGCAGCAGGGCTTCATATTCCACTCTAACTTTCCAACTTTGAGACGTGTGTGAGGATGGTGCTCATGTGAAATGACACGTAGGCTTAAATGGAGCAGCAAACAACCCCCCTCCTCATCACTGAGCCTTCTAATACAGACTGCCAAATATCATAAAACTAGCATTTGCCTGCAAATGGACTGAGATGGGGAAAAAAGGTTTCCATGACAAAATAAATCAATGTTAAATTGCTGTTTTGTTTTTCTCAGAGGTCGATCCAGGTTCTTTTAAACCTTGTTGAATAATTTGTCTGAATTGCTGTCTCCACTCTTGTCACCTCGTCTAATGGAGGTCTGAATTATTTGGACAGCCTTATTTTTAACTGAAGCTAATTACTTCACATCAAGATTTGGTGTAACATGTTGTGCACCTGAAAATAAAAATGTCCACCAAACTGAATTTGTAGTTTGAATTTTGTTGTGTTAGCATCAAGTCTGGAACAATCTATGAGTTCTGCTTGCACTAAACAGAAAATAAATAGCCCTGAGTATATATTGTCCCATGTTCCACCAGGGAATTCCTGAAGGAAACTCTGGCTGCTAATAAGGGGTATCGGAGAGATGAGTGGACCATGTTTGGGAACGAGGCTGAGAAGGTGGAGCTGGATGTGATCAGGAACCAGCGAGTGTTACGCAAACGCGTTGACACCATGGCACTTCGCAAGCAGGTAAAAGTTGAGTGTTGGTCTCAGGAATAACCTGTAACAAGGACTGCTTTGTCAACACAATATTACCTATTCATCATGTTATTAAACCTGCTCAATTAATAAGCATTGTTTGGTTTTACTGCAGTGGAGAAGAGTATTAGCTGAGTTTATTAACATCGGTTCAGTCTGATTCTTGAGTCTGATTTGTCACACGTGATCTAAAATGTGTTGTAAACTAATGAGAAAGAATACGCTTAAATGAACATGGTTCAGGTTTCATTTCCTATTACTAAAGAGGAATATGTATTTAGACTTTGCCTATGAACAAACAAACAGTCTCCATTTCTTTAAGACAGGCTACAGAGTGGAGAGTGGTTAAATCTAGTAGTGACCTAGTTTATTCAACTTTGATGTATCACAGATAAACAATATAATATTTGTTTAGTGGTTGGTTGGTAAATATATACAATTTTCACTTCTTGTTTACGAGTTGGTTTTTCTCCAGCTTCACATTATGCAAAAAGTTACTTTTTATGTTAGTGTTTTTCTCAGTCCATTTTAATAAGTTGCTAGGCATTTGAATGCTGGCTTTGGAAAAGAAAGTTTACTTTAGAGTAGCAGCACATTATGTTTCTCTCATCTGCAAAATCTTCTATTTATTTGTATCTATCTGGGCTCCAGGCACAAAACAAGGCGTCTGCCCACTTGAGGTACCTGGAGCGTCTGAGTCAGAGGGCCCCAGACTTTGCGGTCCCCCTGAGGGCCCACACAGTGTGGGAGGGCATGACCGTCACCCTGTCCTGTATCGTCCAGGGCTGCCCGCCCCCAAAGGTCACCTGGTAAGAACTTCTGTCTCTGCTGCTGTACTGGACTATATTATGTTGGCCTCTATTGGCCTATGGTGATTTCCTTTTCCAGCAGTTTATATTAAAGGCTACTGCTTGGGTCGTAATGCAAACTGGAGTCATTATAATTTAGTTTCACGCTTGGTTAGATGAGGTTAGAGCAGAAAAAAGGCCGAAAGTAATAGCTTTCAGGGAACAACTATAAAAGATGTATAGGACTTCTTAATACTCTGTATTAGATCAGTAAATCAACTAAAAAATAATTACAACTAATTCAATAGATAACCAGTAATTCCTCACTTCTTCATTGTAACCATTTGGTGTTGCTTGATATCATTGCAAATGTAATATATTTGGGTTTTTGACTATCGATGGAAAAGCTTAGGTTAAACACCTGCAAGTTATCAATATAAAGTGTCAAACTCAAAGTCGATGAGTTGCTTGCATAATTCAAAGTCATGACACTACAATTCTGAACCCTGAATATCGCCCTCTGCATTAATATGAAATCACCTGTGTTAATTCAGGCAACGAGCCAAACTGTCGAACTTGATACTCGAGCTGCTGTGAGACTAGTTGATGAATAGACTGAGCGTGCCTGCCAAGTATTCATGAATCTAAGCTGAAATGTAGATAACCTGATGCTTGTGGGCTTAACCATCCCATATGGGACCTATCAAGCCCAATAAGCTGCCCCGCACAAGACAGAATTAGAGATCAAAGGGCCCCTCTGGCTGTTATAGGTTGCAGTCGAATAGTCCAAAATCAGCTCCTAACGTCTATCCCTATCGTCTATTCCTTGACCTCTGAGTGAAACGTCACGGGGTTAAGGGATAGTGGATAGGAGAATTCAAATGGACTTAGGAGAAGAGACTGCGGTACTTTAGAGAATCCGACTGCACTTTCACTATCCGACGTGTTTATGATGCGCCAACGGACATCATAAATGTGCGTCTGCTGCTGTGGGGAAACTATGGAAACTACAGTGTTCTATAGAGCGGACTACAACATGGATGTTTAATAAGAACGAGGGACTCATCTAGAGACTCTGCACCGTGCTCTGATGCTGTTGTTGTGGACAACAGAGAAACATATTCTTCATGACCAAAGTTGGAATTGAAATAAAAAAGGAAAGTGAAACTTTTGCTCGTCACCCTCTCCCTCCGGTCTACATTAATACAAATGATCCCTATACGTATGAAAAGATCTTAAAATCAATACAAATGTATTTATTATAAATGTTAGTCCTTAACATCTATCACTGTGTATATCACCATTCAAACATCTTTTAAAAGTTGAACAAACCCCACACAGCTCAGTGAAATGTTGACTTTATTTGACAATTTCAGTAAAAACTAATGTTCATATTTCTCTTTTTGATTATAATACTGATGAACATTCAAAACAAAGCACTTTGGTAAGTTACCACATTCGTTTTAAAAAGCATAATAAGCACCGTAACTTTCATGATATAATTTCTCGGTTGTTTCCGTGAACGGCCGAATGTTGTGTGACGGCAAATGCTGCGGCTGCAAAGCATTGTGGGGCAGCATTTTCTCCTCTCCTTTCGGTGAGGGATCTCCAGTGGTTCCTAAGCTAAAGGAGGTTATCAAAGTTTGAAACCTCCTTTCCTTTCATTTAGAGAATTGGAACGGCACATAACATGGCTGCCACTGACATACTTCCGGGTCATTTCACTTGGTTAGGAAGGTTCCTAAGCTAAATGGACTATTGGAACGCAACCCGGACCTGGGGGGACAGAGCCTTCTCCGTCGCTGCCCCCTCCCTCTGGAACTCGCTCCCACAACCCATGAGAGACTGACCTCACCACCTTCAAAACACTCACAAAAACTCACCTCTTCAATCTGGCTTTTAATGTGTGATTGTTTTTGTATTAGCCTATTTGACTTGAACTTTAACTAGCCTATATATTTATTTGTTGTTCCTTTCTTTTCTTTTCACCATATCTGTAAAGCGTCTTTGAGCACCTGTAAAAGCACTAACAAAATAAATATATTATTATTATTATTATTATTAATCACTCCCCTTTGAAACTGTGTTTTTTTATTTTGTACTGACCTATAGTATACACATTGGAAGGACTTCTTAACTTATTTTATATACAACTAATATTGCATAGATGGAAATATTTGTTTACAGACCAAACCGTTTGAGACCCACTGAGATAACTTAGACTAAAGTTTACAATCTAGTCACCCAGAGTCCTTTACCTCCCTGAGCTGACGTTATCTCTCTCACTCCGACAGGAGAGAGCTCTCCCTCTCCTTACTGTTGAAACAGCTTCTAATCTCCGTTATCTCCGAGCTAGCACCAGACAACAACCCCCGTAACTCTAGTCTCTCTCTCTATCTGTCTCTCTCTCTTTCTATCTCTCTCACAAGATGTGCTCGTGCCACACACACACAGATGCTCCTCCGTGACGATGACCGCTTGTGTAAAAAAAAAAAAAAAAACATTTAAAAATTGCCATGGTTACGTTAATGTTAACTTCACCTTAACCCTCTGAAGTCTAAGGGTATTTTCTTGATTTTTAGATGTTTCCTGGAATCACCTTTTAAATGTACTTCTTAACTTCTAACATGGCACCCCATGTGTTACATATCAAAATGTTCAGGGCAATCTCTGGTCTTGCTATAAATGCAAATTACTCACCTTAGAGCACTGTGTGATGAGATAAGTAGCTCTAAAGCTTAACATTTGACATCCGATTTTCGGAAAATCTTCAAAAGTCTTGTGAAAACACAAATTTACTAACTTCATCCAATTGGTGTTTTAGATTTGGTCACAAAAGTCTTAGGATCACACAAGTAGTGAAATATTTTGATTAGACTGTATATAAATGTGTAATTCATGTCTAAAATGAAAATAATTAAATTCGAAATTTTAGTAAAACAAGGTGTTTATCAATCTACTTTTCACCACAGCAGCGGACAGGGAATAATGACTTCATATTACATACCAAGGTTCATGTGATGTGTACAAATTGAGCATTCCAACACTTTTTTTTTCAACCACAATTTATTATAAAAATGTTTTTTCTATTTATATAAATATACAGAAAACTGGAGAAATCTCACTATTTACAAATATTGAACATCAGAACTTTCAACCAACTATTCATTATATAAATGTCAAGACAGTGTCGAAGGTCTTTGTCTGTCTTTCCAAGACAGTAGGTCTGGCTGCTGTGTAGGTGGGGGGTACAAGTGCTATACGAGACCTCCACGGAGACCTAACTTGCTGGCTGGGTGAAGGTGATGGCTTGGGTGGAGCTCTTTGTGCTAAGCGTGTATCTTGAGCCTGGTGGCAGCCACAGATTGGAGGTGGAGGCAGCTGTAGTGATTACTGGTCTGCTGGCTGGTCCTTGTGGTGATAGCTCTTGGTGAAGCCCTTTGAGCGACGGTAGAATCTTGACCTGGGGGCAGGCTGAGGGTTGGGAACCGAAACTCGGTTCCAGATGAGAGCCGGAAAATGCCGGGTACCGGGGTACCCATACAAAATACACAATTTAGCCAAAATAAATAACTCAGTTAACCTCTAATCATTAACCCATGGTTGTATAATTGAGTTAACTCCGTGTGTTGCTGTCTAGCATACATAACACCTGGACGGGAAACGTTACTCGTGGATGGGGCTACAGAGCTACTAGAAAGACAGTCGAACCCGCTGCCATTCCTCCGGTCTGAATGTGGGTGTATGAGAGGACGGAACATGACTTACGTATAAATAAATAAATAAATAAATGTGTAAATAAATGTATGGAGAAATACAGGAAAAAATAAAGTATACGTAAATAATAAATACAGGAATAATAAATGACGAAAATAATACAGAATAAAATAAATGTTGAAATGAATACACAAATAAATAAATAAATGCATAAATAAATATGGAAATAAATACACCAATGTATAAATTAAATAAATAATTAAAAGTCGAAATAAAACAGAACACTCGTTATTATATATCTTTATTTATTCTACATTTACGTGAGCCATACATTTAATTTATTTATTTTATGTGTCTGTATGCTAATGAGGTGGGCGGTCCAACGCTCAGTCTGAAGCAGGATATCGCAATTTTGGGAGCCAGGCAGAAGCCAATAGATTCGTGGCAAGTCACATCTTGATACATTCTGAAATGTCAGTTACACCCAACGGCAACTCGAGCTAATAATGGCTTCGGCTGGAAGGGGCGCTAGGCACGACCTATCTGCGGGTGCGGCCTAACAGGCCTTTTTGAAACTGTAGTGCTCATGTTAGTCTAGTGTAAGACTGAAAAAGATAAACAAAACAACAGAAAAAACAACATTATGATCAAGTAGCAACAAAACTAAGATCTGCTGAATGTTAAATGCCATTGGTACAGTTTTGTAACCATATGTGGTCACTCTGGTTATGTTTTTGTGCTCACCAAGCGACCGCTTACGCAGCAAGTTTCGTCTCCTCTCATCCGTTACATAACGGCGGACCAGTCCCAGAACACCAGTGGACGGAATAGGTCTTTGACATCAAACTATTTCGTAATGCAAATCCGAAATCGTGTCACTAAGTTTAATATCGCATATGACAAGTATATTTGATTCCAGTTTCTGTCCACCAGCTTTGAAGGAGGCAATTACTATGAATAATAAGTGTGTGAGCTAATGCTAACCAACATTTCCCCCCTGAGATTCTCGTTTGAATCATTATATATCCTTGGCACTCGCAATATTGCTTATCTTCTTACTTGATCCTAGACCGAAGTTTCAAGACTGTTTTGCACTACATGAGCAGGGAGGAGGGCAGGCAGGGCGGCAAACCTTTCCTGGTCCTGACACACCTGCATTCTTATATACCACTTTAATTCTGTTGCCTGAGGACAGAATGCAGCCTTAGCATCCCCAACCGATTTACGCCCAAAGAAAGACCTCGCTGCTGCTGGTTTAGGGGAAAAACGGGCTTCACATTTAAGGTCTGCAGTCATTAGAAACGACGATTATTCAAACTGCTTTTTCTTTTCTGATGATATATTTATGGTAATGTACATTTTTGAATATATAAATATCATTGGAGTTATCCTCAACAATCAATAACATCTATCTTTATGTTAGATCTCTTATGTGTATCATCCTATTTCCTAGGCAGCACATACAGTTCAACATGAATTCCTCGAAGTTCTTGATGGATGCCTATCCAAAACTGCGGAACGGCTGCAACAGTTTCGATGTTGCTAAAAATATCTGGCACTACGAGAAGGTCGCCACTTGATTGTGATCCCCTTGTCCCAA